ATTGCATACAGTGATGAAAGTGTTTATGGTGCGTAAATAACTAAAAAGTGGCAAGGAAGTGGAATTGAGTACCATATGTGGAGAGTTGTACATAGGCTGGAATATAAATCTTAAGATTTTAATTTTGTTGTTAGCATTCGATGTATATAAAAATGGAAACAATTTTGATATTTAAAAATCAGACAAAAAAATGTGTGTAAAGTAGCCCCCACAAAAAGATAGTGACCTCTGCTCTATGCTTTTGTCAGATGTTGATCACTTATTTATTACTTTTCTTTTACTTTTTACTTTGTTTTATTACGAACAAAAATGACCGTGATCACCACGAGTTTTTTTTTTATAATGAAGAAGATCGAGTAACTCCAGAGGCCGAGTTTCAACGCAATGCCATTACAGATTTCTCAACTACCAAACCTACTGAACCAACCAATTGATCCTGGACCTGCTACAGCGACTACAAACCACATAGTCTGTTGTTTCAACCGCAACCATTCAGAAATGTAACTGATATGCATTATAAGCTCATCTGAACTAACATATTTTTACATCACAGTCAATGTCAGAACAGATATTATGTAACATATTAAGTCCAGTACACCGTTGAAAGCGTGGTTTTGACACCTTTCACAAACTGAAGCTGATTATGATCATTGTCAGAAACCTGAATCTCTTGATGAACGCATATTGAGACTTAACCAATGTATATTTATATTAATCAAAGATTGATCAAAACGATAGCTTCTGTCGTTAACAAAAACCACCTTCGACATAATTTTGGACAAGTCAAGGGAACATTTTACCAAATGTAAAGCAAAATGTAATCAACTCTCTATCACATGACATGACATTTTAGCCACGCCAATATTCAAAATAGTTCAATACTTATTTGAGTCGCCAGTAATGTTTTACGTGTATGCAAGTTTCATTAATATATGAAATTCAACGAACGCCCAACGATTAACATGAACATTGTTAATCTGCACAAAAGTTCAATTAGTTGCGTTTAAAGAATGACATTAATGGTATTATAACAGGTAGAGAGTATAACTTTAAACTAATCTAATAGAGAGTTTTTAATTAGTTGTAGCTGATATTGATTACAATACCCTCATGTATAGTCTTCATTAATTACTACCACCAATTTAACAATGATTTATATCTTACTCACATCTAACAAGCCAATTAAATTGTAGTGAAGAAAAAAGAGGAGAGTAACAAATATCTCTCTTAACGCCAGTTTTCTTTCTTTTAATATGTATTTCTTCTCCAAGTTGCTGACGTCTCATTTCCAATGGCTACTCGCGACTTACATTACTCCAGAGACACTCATTTGTTATGTAGCAAGTAATAGTAGTTGGTGCATTGTGAATATTCTTTCCTTTTACTCCTTCTGATCGTTACCGAGCTGAACAAATCAATCTCCTTCCCTAGAGTATTCTACAATCAAGAAGCCCTGGTCTAATATTTAACTTGATTCCTTCACAATCTTCCAATTTTCTTCAAATATCCAGTTCTATTTTCAAATTAAAAAATACAGATTCTTGAATGTAATAAACCAACTTTCAGCGAAGAAATTTTACATGGTTCGTTTGAATCGAAATAATATTAACCAGTACGTCAGTAACAATCACAATGGCAGAATCGGTAACGTCTAAAAATTCAAGAATAGAAAAGTTAATTCCCCGTGATTGCTATTTAGTAATACACAAAACCAATAGTGGAATCGCCAAATTATAAAGTAACAGAGAATATTGCAAAGGGGATGGTTGGTGGTTGACAAGTTAACGTTCGCTTCCAGCAAAGACGCAGGGGGTTGATATTCGAGTATTCAGAAAAGAGCTTTGTGAGGAAATATTGACAAGAGTTGCCAATTATTGACAGGTGTCAAGATGGTCCGTTGTTCGCATCAATATCCGAAGTCAACATTTCTAACAGAAATGATTTCCTGCTTGAAAAGCAACCATGTACAAAATGAAAGTCCTCGAAGTCATAGACATTTACACAAATTTCCATCAAAATTCATCACGAGAATGTATTTACATACATTATGTTATTGAGTCGCGTATATACAATTGACGACTAATGATTTCAATCAGTTATAACATTAACAAGGAAGATAAAAATGCATGTACGATATACCTCAATTAATTTTATTAGTAAATATCCTGTGAATTATTGATATATTGGTTGTAAACCTACTGCATCTAATAAAAAGTAAATGTAGTACAATGCAATAATCGGTAACCAATTAAACCTTAATAAAGAACGACCTGAACTACTACATACTACATGCAATAAATAATAATACTATAGCAGTGTGTAGTTATACCTACCCATTAGATTATAAATGACAGCTAATTTTTGTATTTTAAGGGGTAGTCATTTAAACGATTGATAGTATAATGTCACCATAGCAATTCTAAAGTCGTTATGATAAGTTATTATAGCAGTTCCAAAAATTATCATTTTAGTTCTAAAGGTTATTATTATAACGCCATAGATTGAGGTTTACATGATTATTACCATATAGTTATGATAGTTTATACGATAGAAGTTCCAACTAAAAGTAATTGTAATTGAATTATAAATAGTAGTTCTAAAGGATATTATAATGTAGTTATAAATACAAGGGATACAGTTATAGATATAAGTTACAGAAAGTTGTTGTGAAAGTTATTACTATTAAGTTATAGATAGCAGTTTTAAAGGTTATTACTTGTATTATAAAGTTATAGATATCAGTTTTAACGGTTATTACTTGTATTATAAAGTTATAGATATCAGTTTTAACGGTTATTACTTGTATTATAAAGTTATAGATAGTAGTTTTAACGGTTATTACTTGTATTATAAAGTTATAGATATCAGTTTTAACGGTTATTACTTGTATTATAAAGTTATAGATAGGGTTAGGGTTATAAAGTTATAGATAGTAGTTTTAAAGGTTATTACTTGTATTATAAAGCTATAGATAGTAGTTTTAAAGGTTATTACTTGTATTATAAAGTTATAGATAGCAGTCTTAAAGGTTATTACTTGTATTATAAAGTTATAGATATCAGTTTTAACGGTTATTACTTGTATTATAAAGTTATAGATAGGGTTAGGGTTATAAAGTTATAGATAGTAGTTTTAAAGGTTATTACTTGTATTATAAAGCTATAGATAGTAATTTTAAAGGTTATTACTTGTATTATAAAGTTATAGATAGCAGTCTTAAAGGTTATTACTTGTATTATAAAGTTATAGATAGTAGTTTTAAAGGTTATTACTTGTATTATAAAGTTATAGATATCAGTTTTAACGGTTATTACTTGTATTATAAAGTTATAGATAGCAGTTTTAACGGTTATTACTTGTATTATAAAGTTATAGATAGTAGTTTTAAAGGTTATTACTTGTATTATAAAGTTATAGATATCAGTTTTAACGGTTATTACTTGTATTATAAAGTTATAGATAGCAGTTTTAACGGTTATTACTTGTATTATAAAGTTATAGATAGCAGTTTTAACGGTTATTACTTGTATTATAAAGTTAAAGATAGTAGTTTTAACGGTTATTACTTGTATTATAAAGTTATAGATATCAGTTTTAACGGTTATTACTTGTATTATAAAGTTATAGATATCAGTTTTAACGGTTATTACTTGTATTATAAAGTTATAGATAGTAGTTTTAACGGTTATTACTTGTATTATAAAGTTATAGATAGTAGTTGTAAAAATTATTACTATAATGTTACTATCTCTAACGGTTATTTCATATATAAGTTATATTTCGGGATAGGGAGAGTTTGATTCTCCTAAATGTACAGGCCTTGGGTGAAACAAATACTTCATTAATACAATGGAATCAGGAAATGGTCAGGACATGCTGGGTATTGTTCTTCTGTTCTGATCTGAAATTAGATAAAAAAAAAAAAATTCGCACACAATGGGCGACAGGTTAGATTGTTACATGCTAATAGGCTTTAGTTTGCTTTGAACAAGTTTGTCATTTACATTCTTTGTTTCTTAATTGCGACAACTATCTTTTGTTTATAAATATGGGGGAATTGCAGACTCTCACAATGGGCATTGGCTATCTTACTTGCCAGTGGTATTGAACGAGACAATAAAAGGTGCTATGCCTTCATTATAAAGTTATAGATAGTAGTTGTAAACAGTGGCAGAGTCTGGTTGTAAAGATTATTCCTCGTATCATAAAGTTATAGATAGCAGTTGTAAAAGTTATTCCTCGTATCATAAAGATATAGATAGTAATTGTAAAGGTTATTCCTCGTATCATAAATTATAGATAGTAGTTGTAAAGGTTATTCCTCGTATCATAAATTATAGATAGCAGTTGTAAAAGTTATTCCTCGTATCATAAATTATAGATAGTAATTGTAAAGGTTATTCCTCGTATCATAAATTATAGATAGCAGTTGTAAAAGTTATTCCTCGTATCATAAATTATAGATAGTAGTTGTAAAGGTTATTCCTCGTATCATAAATTATAGATAGCAGTTGTAAAAGTTATTCCTCGTATCATAAATTATAGATAGTAGTTGTAAACAGTGGCGGAGTCCGGTTGTAAAGGCTATTCCTCGTATCATAAAGTTATAGATAGCAGTTTTAAAGGCTATTCCTCGTATCATAAAGATATAGATAGTAATTGTAAAGGTTATTCCTCGTATCATAAATTATAGATAGTAGTTGTGAAGGTTATTCCTCGTATCATAAATTATAGATAGTAGTTGTAAAGGTTATTCCTCGTATCATTACGTTATAGATATTACTTATAAAGGTTATTCCTCGTATCATAAAGTTATAGATACTAGTTATAAAGGTTATTCCTCGCATTATAAAGTTATAGATATTAGTTATAAAGGTTATTCCTCGCATCATAAAGTTAAAGATATTAGTTATAAAGGTTATTCCTCGTATCATTACGTTAAAGATATTAGTTATAAAGGTTATTCCTCGTATCATTACGTTATAGATATTACTTATAAAGGTTATTCCTCGTATCATAAAGTTATAGATACTAGTTATAAAGGTTATTCCTCGCATCATAAAGTTATAGATATTAGTTATAAAGGTTATTCCTCGTATCATTACGTTAAAGATATTAGTTATAAAGGTTATTCCTCGTATCATAGAATTATAGATATTAGTTATAAAGGTTATTCCTCGTATCATAAAGTTATAGATATTAGTTATAAAGGTTATTCCTCGTATCATTACGTTATAAATATTAGTTATAAAGGTTATTCCTCGTATCATAAAGTTATAGATATTAGTTATAAAGGTTATTCCTCGCATCATGAAGTTAAAGATATTAGTTATAAAGGTTATTCCTCGTATCATAGAATTATAGATATTAGTTATAAAGGTTATTCCTCGTATCATAAAGTTATAGATATTAGTTATAAAGGTTATTCCTCGCATCATGAAGTTAAAGATATTAGTTATAAAGGTTATTCCTCGTATCATTACGTTATAGATATTAGTTATAAAGGTTATTCCTCGTATCATAAAGTTATAGATACTAGTTATAAAGGTTATTCCTCGCATCATGAAGTTATAGATATTAGTTATAAAGGTTATTCCTCGCATCATAAAGTTAAAGATATTAGATAAAAATGTTTCTATTTCAAGGTAAATCAAAAGATAATATCTTAAAGTAATAAATTAATTAGTTCTTTTCAGTAACTGTAAATAGTTCTCAAGATGGTTAAAAGTCAAAGACACTCATGAAATATTTAAGTGTAGAATTTGCAGATGCACTTCTCATCTCGTATCATTACTTAGAACTGTTTAGTTTAGTTTAAACATATTTTATCGAAATACTCAAAAGTATTGGATACAAGTGTCATGTGATACCCTCCCTTACAGAGTTATCGCTTTTGTAAAAAACATGATCAGTCTAAGGAACATTTATCGTTTGCATTGTTTATCAAAATCTATACAGAACGTTCATGGTATGACATTTGTTAACTGTTGACGTCCAGAAATGGCAATCTTTTTGATTTATCTATTTTCCAACGTGAATGACATAACAAAGGGAACACATATAACACAAGACAATATTATGGAATATAACACACTTCTTTAATAAGGTTGGGCACATAACGTTTCAACACAATATATACGTGTC